GTTTCTACAGTAAGAAACTAAGGTTTTGATAGCTGATATAGTTGGTTCAGAGCTATCAGATGAAGATAGGCAAGGCTGCTTTCCTACTATCAGTGTAGAATTCCCATTAGCTCACTACACCCTACCTCCCTTACAAAGTTTTAAAAAGAGGAATGTATCCTCATCAATTCAGTTTGGTTTCTTTGTCTCCACCTCTCTCTTTCACTCCCTCCCTTCATCTCTTCCCTTCCCCCCCTTCTCTCTGTGTGTACAAGAGATAGAATGACAGTTTTCTGTAAGGGGGTTGGGCTGCTATTACTTCATCAATATAGCATAGGCTTACTAATGAAAATTTCATAAAAGGCTAAACTATTAGTAAATTTCCTTCAAGCTCCCCAAAAGACTTTTGTGAGAAGTATTTCAAAGTATTTAAGAGGATTAAAACATTACTATATTTTAAGTACCCTCATGACACAATATTGAATGCATCCCCTGAAGAGGCTGAATTTTTATGACCCTGAAGAGGGTGTTCTACAAAGAACTGCATGCCATGGTGAGAAGAGGGATTGTCCACTATGAAGGAAAAGCAGACTTCACTGGTCTGTTTGAGCGCAGACCAGAAAGGCATTTGGGAAACTAGCCTTGGAAAGGCAACTTTACTTAAGAAATCACCAAGGAGGTGCATTTCACTACCTCCTGCCCAACCATGGAATAATCTGCTCAAAACTCCCCAGTCCACGTCACTGAACGCATTTATGCAGAGGGTGAGGAACAGGCAGGGAAAACAAGCAGGTGCTGGAGAAAAGATCATCATTCTCATTCTGACATACTTTTGTTTTTATATGAAATAAATTCTGCATAGGCTAGTTAAAAATGAGTAATTCATTTTAATATATTTTAATCTAGTTCCAAGTCTATCATCCATAAAAGAATCTCAAAGGGAAAAATAGTTTAATTGGAGAAAAAAATCATATAATCTATTTGAAAAACAACATATTTGGAAATAATAAATAACAGTATCATATATCATAGGGTCTACAATGAAATTTCATATTTTAAAGGCTATTGTAGAAACATCAGAGAAGTCCTAAATTTTTTTTATAAATATGAGAACAGTCAAAAGGAAAAGCAACTTTAAAAACAAAACCCTGGTTTTCAGATAGAAAGTGTAAATTATCATAATATCCACAACAAAAATGATCTTTTTGACAAAACTATTGAGATGGCAGGACACTGGAAAGCTGAGGGCTGGAGAAATGGTACAGCAGCTAAGAATGCTTACTGTTCTTCCAGAGGACCAGAGTTAAGTTCTCAAAAGCCTATTAGGCAGCCCATAACCACCAGTCCCAGGGGTTCTACAGTTGTCTTATGGGCTCTCTGCTCTCTCTCTCTCTCTCTTTCTCTCTCTCTCTCTCTTCCTCTCTCTCTCTCTCTCCACTCACTCTCTCTCTCCTCTCTCCCTCTCTAGCTCTTAAATATATACACACATTCATAAAAATAAAAACACACCTTCAAAAAATAAAAAAGACAACTATGGGTTAAGTCCAGTCATAATTAAGCAGAATATTAAGATTACTCAAGAATTTTGAAGTAGAGGAAGATACCTACAGACATACTGTAGTATCAGCCCTATGCAGATCATATCAAAGAATAAGATCCTGAAATACACATCCAATTAATGCCCAAACACCCAAAGATTTCAATAATAATAACAAAATGTAAAAACTTACTTTGGAACATTTTGAGTCTGGATTTGTGTCTTCATACTTTACTATTGATAAGAAATATATCATAATCAAGACAACTTACAAAAGAAGATTTTATTGTCTTCTCTGCTTCTACTAACACTGCTTCCTAAGCCCTGCTTACAATACTCAAATGCTTTGCTAACCTAAGAAGATGGTTCTGAATTATATAAGAAAGCAGGCTGAGCAAGCCATGGAAAGCAAGCCAATAAGCAGAGTTCCTCTGTGGTTTCTGCTTCAGGTCCTGATTCCAAGTTATTGCCTTGAATTCCTGACATGGTTTCCATGAACGAAGGACTATAATCTAGAAAGCAAATAAACCTTTACCTTTCCAAGTTTCGTTGGTCATGGTGCTTTTCACAGTAATAGAAAGCAAACTAGGACGGTGTGGTTTGTATAACGCACTTGAGAAAGGTTTGGACATTCTGGTCTACCTAGTCACTATGCATTGCCTTGTGTAGCCCATATTTATTAGAGGGGTATCAAAAGATTGAGTGTGATCCAGTGTTCTATCAAAGTGTCTTGACTTTTCCAAAGAGTGCTTGAATGATAGAATGATAAAATATATGATAAAGCTATATTATGACTTAGTAACTGCTCTGAGACTGAACTGAAAGATGGCCAATGGGAAAGGAGCTTGCATAGAGTAAAAGAGATTGGAAATATGTTGAAAGAGATGCTTTAGAATGCAAAAAACCCACACTTGCTAATTTTAGAAATATTAAAAACTAATCTGATCATTTAGATTTGTAAACATTCACAGTCAAATGAGCATTGTAAATGTATGAGACATTAACTGTCCCAGCCAAGCTTCCTCTTTTCTGATTTTCCTCTTGGGGCCCTCTCTAAAATCATGGAGGAACTCATTCTATATGAAAAACACCATTTATTCTAAAAGAAGGAGGGTCCTAAAAATCCCCTCTTTTGATATATGACAGTAAATAATCCTGGCACAAATTACTCCAATGACAGGAGGATGCCCCCTTAAGCCATTCATTCTTTTGAATGATCTTCATCCCCTCCAAATACCTGAAAAATTTGTGCCCATCCCTCTAATAACCTCTAGAGAGGATGTGACACCTCCCCCTTCTCATTTCACACAACTCCTGTTTCTGATCAAAGTTAGTCTTAAAAATTAAAGGAACTAGGAGGATCAAAGACAGTGGTTTCGGAAGGATGCTTTTGTTCCTATGATGTTCTTAACACTTTGGGACAGTGAGGGGCAAGGGTGGGCAACTGTAATGGTCTTTCTTGCATTTTTCTGGAGCTTACTTGTCACAACTGAGAAGAAACCACTTAAGGGCTGTTAGTAGCCAAGAAATGCTGGCCCCTGGCAGGCTCACATTTTGCAACCTGATGACTAGCCTTCTGTAAGAAAAGGCTGAGGGAAGTCCCACTGTCTTTTCAGTCTTCTGCTTTCTTTGTTACATCATTTACTAGACTCTTCACAGCTCATAGAAAACATCCAGGTTTAATTTGTCTTGCTTGATTTCACTACCTGGTACTGCAAACGCATACCCAAAGTACCCTTAATGAAAAATGTCAGAGGGTGCCTGCTGTAGAATAGGACCCTGCTGCTTAGAATAGGGCCATGGTATAAGGGGCTTGGCAGAGGCCAAGCACTGTACTCAACGTTCCACTGGGTCTAGCCCACTTGGTTTCACAAGTACCCCAGGTATGTAGATGTGTGGTTGACTCTATTTCAGAGATAAAAGACTTCAATTCACAGAGGAGATGAGAAAACTGCCTAAGACCAGGGTCAGGATTTCACCGTAAACCCTGAACTCTGATTTTAGAATTCAGGAGGCTAAGGAGACCTCAGTGCCATGCCACAGCACTGTGTGAGGGACATCCTGAGCCCTTGTTCCATCTTTTATTACAAATCTTACATCAGATTAAAGGCCAGAATACTGAAGTTTTATTATTGTCATCTCAAATTATGAAAGAAACAGAGCAGAAAGTTTATCTTTGCAGTTCATTTAATGTGACTCCAATCCAGGCTACTTTCTCTGGACTTTGTTTGTCCAATCTGTGAAACAGGCATATGATAGCATCTGCTCTGGAGGGCTGTCATTGGTATGAGTTTGTATGACGTAAATGTCCAACATACATACATACATACATCCTAGCTTGTTAACACTTTAAAACATTCTTCAGCCATTGTGGAAATAGGATGGTGACAGGAAATGAGCCGCGTTTGAGTTCCATTAAACGGATTCTGCTTTAATAGAATTAACCTGATGCATGCATGCTTATGTTGCAGTCAGTGGTTCTGCAGTTCTCTGCATCTCTGTCTCTGGAGCACTTTAGGAAATGGTGAAGGTGTCAGGTGTCTGCTACATTCTTTGTTCTTGATCCTAAAATGCCGCCTTGTATCTCTATCACATCTGCTCTCACCTCTCTGGATTTTGTCCCAGAATTCACAGTAGTCATGGGAGGAGGTTTCCCATTTCTTCTAGTTAATTAAAAATGGAAAATCTCTGCAGTCACTGGGAGGGAAATAAAATGGGAAGTTTTAAATACTCTGGGTGTGGGAATCTCCTGGGCATAGTCTTTGGTCTATACTACCACTAAAGTTTAAAGCCTGTGGGGAGGGCATAGTGCAGGTGAAGGGTGTGACACAGCCACCCCTCCCAGCCCTCTTGAACTCCCCTCCTCTAAGTAAAATTAGCCAATGTCTTCCTTTAAATGGAAATTTTATTTTTTCACCATGGAAGCTTTACACATTACTTACCCCAAGGCAGCTACACTCTTTCATAAAGCCTCCTTCAAAAATTATTGGGAAGAGGGGAGATACTTGAGGAAACCATCTTATGTGGATGGCACTTTAAGGGTTCTACGTGGCACTTTAAGGGTTAAGCTTCCTTGCAAGAGGTCTGTCTTGTGGGGATATCCCCTAATTTAGAAACTACTATTGCTAAAATGGCAAGCCACAAATGCATTCTTTTTGCAAGGCTTTCTACTACAGGAATAACTGCTTGTTCCCAGCGTGTGTATGTGTGAGTTTGACTCAGCCTCTACCCATCTATCATCTATATGGTGCTTATATCAGGGTGAAGACTGTCAATCACAGAACACAGCAGGGTTCTATCTCCTTTTACTATAGATCCATTTTACGAAAGCTCTCAATGTATTATGTCACACAAATCAAAAAGGAAGCATTTATCTTATCATTCAGAGGCATCCCTTCTCCCTCCCAGTGTCCTAGCCCCTCCCCCTGCGCCAGTTTCCAGCCCCTCAAAGATGCTTTGTGCAAGAAAGTACAAGTTCTCCTTCTGGCTTCATTTTTGTTCCTTTTTGCTCTCTTCCTGGCTTCCCCCCAAAACAAGAGAGAAAAGCAAATGGCCCGGGTTCCCCCCCAATGCCTGACCTGCGTTAGCTGGGAGGAGAGCGGGAGAGGGAGCGCGCATTCTGGAGCAGGCTGCTCTGACTCCGACCACAGGCTGTTTTGTGCAGCCTGTCCCTCTCCTTCGAAATCAAGCATCCCCTCCCCGAAGCAGCAGGCAGTGTGCCTCCATTCGGCCACATTTGGTATGCATGAGCAAGGCTGCAGGGAGAGGGGAGGTGGCTTTCTTAAGAAGGTTCAGGGGCTCAGGAAACGCCACTTGACTAGACTCCCAAGTTCCAGGAAGCCTCTGCCCTAATGGAATTTGCAGGTGTGGAGATGACCATGGGGTGCCAGGGTCGTGGGGGACCGTTTATTTTCTAGGCATTGTCCAGATTTGCAGTCTCTTGTCTTCCCGGTGGAATTTGGAAGGGGTCATGAATCAGACTGATGCTTCTCGACCCCTAAATTGGACAATCCGGAAGCTATGCCACGCAGCCTTCCTCCCATCTGTCAGACTTCTCAAGGTACTGTAACTTGCTGCTTTGAATGCCTCTTACTGTGCTTTTCAGGTCTAAACGCCCAACTTCGCACTTGGGCTGGGACGCCAGTTTTGGGGCGTGCGAATGCATGCAGTACTTGCTGTATTACCCATGGCTGGAGAGAGTTACCAACACCCCTACCCCACCCCCACCCTCACCCAGCCTGGAGGATGGCCTGAGCTACACTAGGGAATTAGATATGGTCTCAGGAATGGGGTTACCTGTGTACACCCCCACCTTTCTTACCATTAGTTTGCCAAATAATTAATTCACTTCTTGGGGAGGATGAGAATAATAGTGGGCATGAAATCTCTTCCTAGTCTGCATTTGGCTCCAGAGCTCATTTTCTTTCCCTGGGGAAGCCCTTCGACCCACTTTCCCTTAAATGGAACCTGAGAGAACAAAGGATTCTCCTCCTTACTTTAAACACTCCCTGGCTAGGTGGTCAGTCAGGTATAGACAAAGAAGGAATGAACCTTATCACACAGTGACTTTTTAAAGGCATGATCATTTCTAGCTAGCTCTTTGGTCTTTGGACTGGAGTCAGTGTGAGAAAGTATTGTTTCGCATACATTGGAGGACGCCGTCTCTAGCTCCCTAGTTACACAAAAGATTGCTACTACACCTGAGCTGCAGTTGCTAGTCGTGTCCAGTGTCCGTGTTTCTCGAAGCAAATGTATTAAAGACACAGAAAAGGTCCTCACAAGTCTTCAGGAATCTACCTTCATCACCTGCCTGACAGGGAAGGGCGCTGTGTGTGAAGGTATTGAAGAAAAAAGTATTGCTTAGAAAAGAAAAACCTGCTAATCCTTTGGGGGTGGGGCGTGCATAACTGAATGTTTCACGTTAAAGTTTGTCAGGCAAAGCAAATCCTTAATTCTCTCTTTACTATTATATGTGTTTTTTTTAATTAATTTCTAGTGAGCATAGAGGGAATCTGCTACAATGAAAGAATGATGGATCTGAATAAATCGCTCTGATTTTTTTTCTTTAAAGTGAAATTCGGGTGAGGCTTGATGTAGACAGGTCTAAATAGCTAAGTGGTGCCTCATTGCCAAATATGACCCATTGTCTCAGTTTCCCTGAGCCTGTAAAACACAAACTGGTATTAACTTTCACCAAGTGTGCCTCCAAGTGCCCTTCAAACCTCATCTTATGGTTGTCATGGCAATGACTTGCTTCCCAAGGAATATTTGGAAGGAAAAGCATTTGGGGGCATAGGGAATGGGAGATTTTGCTGTATTGAAGCAACTTGTGTAATAGAGCATGAAAAAGAATGAAGCCAGAGTATTAACAAATGAATGTGGATTTCCCTCCAGATTTAGTAGTCGATCAAAACCAGGAAAAAGAATGTTTTGGCAAATCAACTATGACTGAGAAAGTGAAGTTCTGTGGTCCCATGTGCAATAAGAACTACCTTTTCAGCTAATGCCATTCAATGGCTTGAACCCAAAGTGATGCTTTTTAACTCGTCTTAACAGTTATATGTATATATTATTAATGAATACTCAATGCATTATTCATTAGTGTTCATTTTAAAAATAGAAACTGTTATTAATATACTCATCACAAAGCCAGGAAAGAAGTTCGTATTTGAGACAGATTACTTATTTTTAGAAGAACTGTCATCTTTTAAAATTGAATACACAATCCCATACACACCATAGCCAGGAGACTGATGCTTGCATTTTTATCCTGCCCCACCCTTCCATTTATGCCATTTATTAATGTGGTGCTTGATAACATTTCATCTAATAAAGGGCATTAGTGAGCTTCCTTTCCCTGACTCCAGCATGGGAAGGAGGGGATGCATTTTATTAGGGAACTTTCTCTCGAAATGACATCTGTGCATTTGAGAGTATAGCTACCCCACGAGACTTCAGATAGTAAGCACATTTCAACATCTTACAAGGAAAATAAAGTGATGCCAAATCCTTTCAGCAATATTTAGGCAGAAATGCTATCTCCTTTTTGGAAGGCAGCTGTGCCCACTACTAGACCGTCCAGCTGCTTTTGAATAGGAGCAAACGTACCATCCACATGAACACAATGGTGTGTTTTCCCGTCTAGGTTATTGTGGCCCCATTTTTGCTCGGCTTACTACCTATGCATTCTTCTACTGCTTTAATCTTCTGTGTAAAAACTGCAAGCATTTTTTGCATAATTTGCATCTTCGGTAAATGTTCTTGTCTCAGGCTAAATATTAAATATCTAATAATGGTTTTTCTTGATGTCCCTCCTTACTCTCTGTCATCCTTTTGCCTCAGACTCCCCCTCCCCCACTCTACCTCCATCATGTTAATTTTTTTGGACAGGCTCTCTGAGCATCCAGAGTTATCAAAACCCTTAGCTAACAAAGCCAATTCTTCCATTCAACAGGTAATTTTTGTTGCTTTTTCCACAGTCTTGATAAGTGTTGCCCTCTCACATGCCCTGAGATTTGTCAGCAAATGTAGTATGGAGCCTGGTGGCCTGATTAGACCTCCTTAAATGAAGATCACTCACCAATTCTGACAACCTGGATTCAAGCTGATTTCCTTTCTCATTCTTTCCCAAGAAAAATGTATTGAGTTTTTATTTATTTGCTTAATCGTTCATTCGTTTATTAACTTACTTCAGTGCCGTATGGGTAGTCAGAAATAGCTTCATGTCTAATTTCTTTCTAATTTTCCATGTCCTGCTGGAAATGGGGTGCTAAGGAATCAGGAAGAGGAGGCAGTCCTAAAACATGAATTAAACCCAGCAAGTGTTGGAATGCACTCATTATTCCTTCTGAAAACATTTCATTGTTCTGTCCACCCCAAAGCAAATTTTAAACATGCCAACTGACTCTTACTCTGCATTTGGAGCTGAATTTGGAAATAGCACTTGGAAATGAATGTCTGAACAGGCCCAGGGTGATGATAGCCAAAAGACAGAGCCTGCTTTGAAATGGATGCCTTTTAGATGGGACCCTTTCCAGGCGACTTCTCTGCTGTAGTTGCTTCATTCTTATGTGGTTCAAGACTCCATCCAACCATTAATCACACACACACACACACACACACACACACACACACACACACACACACACACACGTGCGCGCACACACACACACAAAGTGAATTTGGTTTCAGTGACAGAATGTTCTTAGCATATTTCATATTCATTATCAGGTCTGTCTCTGCCATTGTTTTATTTAGGAGATTTTATTTTGGTAACTTGTGTTGAGTTTGAATATTATTTTTAGGGCAAAGAGTTTTCTTAGAAGTGAAGTCTTGGCAGACTTTTTGAAGGGAAGGCTTCTGGAAAATGGGTTGCATTGGAACAAAAGGAAGAGCTATGTAACACACTGAATAAACACACTTATGTCAATTTCTTAATCAAGAGCATCTGATTATTCTAAAGATTTTGAACACTTTATATTGAATAATGCTATGCTTTGAGTGAGAAATGTCAAAAAAATAGGATAAAAGGAGGGCTCTGTAGTTAAGATCACTTGCTGCTATTCCAGAAGACTAGAGTTTGGTTCCTAACACTCTTGTTGGAAGGCTTACAACTGCCTCCAATTCCAGACTCTGGGGATCTGCCTTCTTTTGGCAACTATGAACACCCATAGATAAATGATGCACTCAATATACACACAATCTTTCCCTTTTGATTTTTGAGGCAGGGTCTCTCTACATAACCCTGGAACTCACTATGTCACCCAGGTTGGCTTCAAAGTCACAGATATCCACCTGTCTCTGCCTCTCTCCCCCCAAGTGATGGGATGAAAGGCATGCAGCATCACATCTGACTTAAATCTTTTTAACACAGATATTAAATCATATTTGGGAAAGCTAAGTCTAACTACAGTGTCCAATTTCCATTGTCTTTCTAATCTGCATTGTGACCTTGAGGCTACATAATGTCCTTGTAACATGGAGTCTTTTTTAGAATGAAGGATTTTAGTCTTGAAGAGATCCCATGGTGATGCCCTTTGGTGATGCCTGCATGCTCCCTGAGAATGGAAGACCACACTATATTTGAGCTAAAAGTATTGGATATTCTAGTGGAAAACAGAAATGAAATAATAGTGAGATTCAAGGCACAGAGGGTCTTGTCTACTAAGAAAGTCATTTAGAACATTATCCCAAAACAGATGGGTACAGGAAATGTTTGTAGTAAGGTGACTGCCATATTCAGTATTGTATACTCATTCTGGCTATAGAATGACTTGGTGAGACATGGTTAAGTGGAAGATGGATGGCACAATTAAGAGACCTGGAGAATTTCTAAGAATCTGGGCTAAAACCAAAGTAATAGAAGTAAATTAAATAGGGGCATGTTGCATTAATAATAGGTGTCTTCGGAGAGAACCTAGAATAATCTTTGAGTTTCCATCTTTGGTATATAATTGGATGAAATCCCCAGGACCTAAGAACAAAGCTTCCAAGAAAGAAGGGTGGAGCTACTTTGTGATCCTCTTGCTGATCTTGAAAGATGAGTCACTGCTGACTAATTAGTCAGAACAGAAGTCAACACTGTGCCTCTCTGTCTCACTAATTGACTGTGGGTCTTATTGAAGAAGAGAACTTTGAAGTAAATGATATTCACTAATAGTGGTGTCATGTCTATGTTATTAACTATAATGTGGCATCACTATTCTCGTTAAACTATGTATCATTTCACCAATTAATGTCCCTCCTTACAGCCCAATCTTTTGAACTTCAGCTGATATTTATTCTATTTTTCTCACCTTTATGACTTTTATATATTAGAATTAATTAATGTTACCTGGGTAGCTAAAGGGAATTACCTGGGAGAGCAATGATTCTACTAGGAGATCTGGGCTGAAGTTTTATGCTCTGTAATTCCTTATTAAGTTATCACATGGTCAGTGTACCATTCCTGAAGCAAAGCAAGATCATACTGAACAAGGAGATTTGATGTGTACTGTACAGTCAATGGTGGTCCTTCCATAAAAGAACTGAGTCTCACTGCTCTCAGGTTCTCAACAAATA